CATAAAATTTACTTACATATATCATTGGATATAAATGAATCCACTACAAATAACACTAACTCATACATCTAATTAAAATATCATAACTCTTACTTCTACTGCATCATTCAGTCACACCATTTAATTAAATGAATCCAATAAATGAATCCAATACAATACTAACTATAAATGAATCCAATACAAAAGAAACCTAACTAAACATCTAATTAAGAAACACTAATTAGTACATCTACTACTTCATTCAATCACAGAATCTTTATAACTGTCTCTAAATGAATAATACAAATAAACCTTAACTAATCAACTAATTAATAAAACCATAACTACTACATCTACTAGATGATTCAATCATAGATCATACATATAAATGGCTATAAATGAATCCAATACAAGAAAACCCTAACTAAACATCTAATTAAAAAACCCTAACTACTACATCTACTGGATGATTCATATGACATTCATGCATGGAGTTATGCAACAACAATTTAATATGAGTTGGTCATCTGGCATAGTTGCATGTCTAGCAAACCTACTTATGGTTCACTTTATAAGTACAAGAATCCTACAGATCAAAAATAAACCTACCTACAATTTGAGTTTATAGATAATGAAGTGAAGCTCCTAACTATTTTGAAATTGTGCACTAGTTAAACGTACTATGTTCATTTCAAAAATAAATTGATAAACTTCAAATGAACAAATTAGGATTTTAACCTCATTTATACAATATCAACTTTAATAGATACACTGGGTGGCGGCTCAGCCCCTGCCGTGGCCCACTGAGGGAATATGCAAAACAAATCTAACAACATATACATCACAGAACAAAATCTGAGCACATGAGGCAATCCAGATTCTAATATAAAAAACATAACTCTCATTATGATCTCTCTAGCATTCAACCACGAATCAACTACAAAAAACCCTAACTCTCTAATGGGGTTCCCCATTCAATCAAAAAACCCTAACAAGCAGAAGGGGGTGCCGCATTCAATCACAAATCTACAATAAAAAACCCTATCTACTAAATCTTCTGCTTAACAACTACAACTAAGAGAGGAGGGGAACGAGAAGGATTACCACATCCACCACCTTCTTGTCGCTCGCCTCCGCACCTGCATCCAGTGCGCCGCAAGACGCCGTCACGACCAGGTCCGGCACGACGGAGTCCGAGCCCACCACCCCCTGCTCCACCAGATCCTTCGCCGCAGCGACAGATCCAGCGACTGCGGGTGCAGCATCTCCCGCACCGCCGACGGCGGCCACTTCTTGGACGACATCTGTCGTGGTGTTCGCGGCCTCGACCGCAACTCCGTGCGCAGTGGCGGCAGCGCCACCACCTTGCGCCATCGAAGCCTAAGAGAACCCACCGGAGAGAGGGAGGCGGTGGGGTTGAGCGAGTAGGTGCGGTGGCGGGGCGATGGAGACGAGGGGGAGATGATGCGTCAAGGAGAGAGGGAGTGAGCCGATTTGGGGGTAAATGGTGGGGGCGATGCGGCCGGTGGTGGTTCCCCTCCCTCTTTATAGGATGTGACGTTTTTGGAAGTTTTCGTGCGCCGCGTGGCTAGCCCACGACCGCCGCCGCCCACGCCCACGACCACCGCACGTGACAAGGGAAAACGATACGCCCACGTACAATACATGTATACCCTCAGTGTACGAAAGTAATCGGGCCGGTGCGGGCTTGTACAGGGCTGTACGCGCGCCGGTGCGGGCTTGTACAGGGCTGTACGCGCGCTCTCCTCGGGCATAAAAAGACGATCGTGCCCCTCTTCACAAATTGTTTTTGACAGATCTCAGCCGTCCTTGTGTTTCTCCCCCTCGCTTTCAACCCAGGGGGGAGCACCGAAGCAGAAACGCGGCAACAGCCTGTCCCAGCCCCATGTGGCGCTCACAATATCTTCTTATCAGACAAGAAAAATACTAGCTAGGTTAGATGGTGAAATCCAACATTTACATAATAAATTCCTAACATATATACTATACCAAGACTCAATCTTAAACCGAAGAATGGAGCATATAAATTCCTCATACCATTGTAGAGAATGACTTCAAACGGAGGCAGTTTCGGAACATCATCGTATTGCCTGAGCTTAACAAGCCTCGCCACACGTTCGTGGGATGCAGACGGCAAGACGAATCCGTAGCAGACTTTTCCAAACAAGGCAAAATCCATGGTCCTCTTGGGATCAAAAGACTTGTCCCTCCACGTCGGATCCATGCCTAGGAGTCTAGGGCTTGCTTTTGAAAACTCTCTACTCGGCCCGTGATCTTATTTATTTATTTTGAAAATAAAATAAAATTTTGCGTTTTTTTCAAAAGAAAAAGATCTGCATCTGCCCAGCCTAGGGTTGTGCTGAGCCGCCGTCCAGCAGGCACGAAGGTGAGGCCCTCGCTTCGCTTGGCTTCTGCATGCCCTCTTTCTCTCCTCGCGCTGTCGGCAGGGTCTGATCATGTGCCCTCTTTCCAGGATCCGTTGTTCCGCGATAGGAAGAAGAGCACCCGTTTACCAGCTGCCGGCCTCTAGCCAAGCCGGACGGGGCGGTTGATTTTGAAGACCGTGGCAGTGAGACGATCCTTTTCACAGGCTGCAAATTCCTCGACTTACCAGGCGCGTCGTCGTACACTACATACTCGTCAATATATACCGGTGTGTCAACGCGGTCGTGAGGCCGTTGTTTCTACGACTTGGTTTCATCTCAGAGAGAAAACTCGGCGATTCTTTGCTTCCGGCTCATCCTCTTCTCTGATTCAATACAGCAGACGAGCGCTCCGGAAATAAAAAGATGAGCGCGTTGTTCAGGGCATCCTGGACCCAGAGGGTATTATCCATGGAGTCAGATAATGTGCGCCGCCATGTAAGTTCTTGGCTAGCTTCTCTTTTTGATCTGCCTTGGACCTACCGTTCAGCTTCAGCTATCCTATATATGTATCGAAATTATAAATAAATGATACGTACATCACACAGCACAAGAATGCAATGTTCTTGCTAGAGATGATGCAATGATTACTTTTGCTGGCCTAGTTTGGCAACACATTTTTTCCAAAACCATAGTACCAATGCCTGGGCAATGAATACTTCAGTTTCTAAAAACCACTGTTTTTAAACTTCGGTTCAGAAAGAGGAGGTTGAGATCTCTTTCTCAAATCAATCAAATACTAAAAGGAACACGGTGTTAGGGAGATTATGATTTATAAAACGGTGGTATTTATTGATGTCAAAACGCAACAAACTTTTCAAAACCATAGTTTTTTTAAAACATGTTGACTTACAGTATTAATAGATGATATATTCTTATTGCAGAAATGTGTGGAAGATAGGCTCAGCGCGCTGACCGACGACATCTTAATCTCTATCTTGGTGAGAGTCGACATTGCTACGGCAGCAAGAAGTAGCGTTTTGTCAAGGCGGTGGAGAAACTTGCCGTGGTTACTTCCTGATCTCAAATTTCATGCCATGAACTTCCTTAGCGCCCCATGCGGAGGAGTTGCACGCCACATTGACCAAGCAATGGCGTCTCTGGCTAGAGCTACTAGCAGCTTCTTCGCTCAGCCACGCAGGAAACACACCAATAAAAAGCTATGCCATGAGCTCTATCTCACCGGCAACTACTCGCATGACATCGGCCTGCTGGCCGGCAACGCTATTGACAGTGAGATGGTAACAGATTTGGAACTCGCCATTTTAACCGAGAAGAAGCCAGAGGACTCTGCACACGAGGTTATGGTGCAGCAAGCTCAGGATATGGATGGATTTTTCAGTGCATAACCTAGCGTTCTTCGTTGCCTCACAAGGCTCCATCTACAAAATATTCGCTTGGCCGAACGGGACATGAATCACCTTCTGTTCGACTGCTGCAAGCAAATGCTGCACCTTCGTCTGGACCACTGTGACACCGGGGACTGTTCTGTATGGAAGATCAATGCGCCACATTCGAATCTCAGAGTTCTAGAAGTCTACTTATCCAAGTTGAAAAAAGCTGAGGTGCTCTGCCTTCCAAAACTAGAGCGGGTCCGTTGGCAGGCTTGGTTGTTTTACGAGGCCCCCTTGTGTTTTGGTTCCGTCCCGTCACTCAAGGAATTATCCCTCATCTGTGACGCATCTCTCATTCACCAAGACTTTAGTTTAAGCCAGGTTCTAGACGGTGCCACAAACATACATACTTTAACCTTAAACTTTCGAGGAGAAAAGGTAATTTTAGCCGATAGCTGTTATATTGTGCTTTTGTGCTATTTCGTACGTACGAACTTAATGTTGGACTAGCACTAGGATTGTTCTAGTTTTGCTGGTTCATTCCTTCACCATGTTATTTGCTTTTATTTACAATTTATAATTTCCAGGAAGCATCCCATTACTTAGCAAATGACTAACCTGGTGCACACATAACTTGCATCTATGACATACAGATGTACGATTATTCTATTTTTACCTCTCTTTTTTTGTTCATCAGATTTGGATGCAACCAGAAGGAAAACAACTATGCACTGCATTCAACAAGCTAAGAAAGCTGACCATCCATGGTATTTTTATAAAATTTGACCTATTATGGACATTAAATCTCATCGAAGCTGCTCCATCTGTCAAGACATTTGATGTTGAGGTACTTCTACTCATTCTTTTCAACTTTTAGTTAGAATGTGTACAAGTCTATCTGACTCAAAGCACCATCGTAGTCTCTTTGGCTTTGATTACAATCCTACCATAACCCCTTATAATTTAGGTATTGGTGATTGAATGCAGATGTTTGAACATCCATGCCAAGAGGGTGATGAAGCAAGAATAAGATGTTTTGGTGCTCAGAGAGTGGAACCTTCATGGAAGTTGTCTAGGTTCACAAGCTGTCACAAGTGGCAATTGAAAGAGTTCCAGTTTGGTGGTTTTAGGCCCCTACTGGAGCAACACTTTTTATTTGTAAGTACTGTTATGGGTCGAGCTCCAGACTTGAAGACAGTTCTTCTGACAGACGGTCAATATCCATGCAATGGTTGTGACACAAGAATCCCAATACCTCCTCCGGTAGGGGGCTTCTTTCCAACATACAGGGATGCCCAAGAAGCAATAGCCAAGCAACTTAGAGAGAGGGCCCGGTCCTCAGCACAGATAATTTTCCGTAGTGGTTCGACATACCCCTCGCGGGCAACCCGATCATATATTTATTAGCTTGGAGAGTACAAGAGATCACGATAGTTGCGATGTATTGTGAAATGTGAATTCCAGGAGTAACTCTCTTTGTATTTTTGGTATCATTTCATCAAAACCTGGTTATAATTAATAGATGAGGCAAATCTTTGGTCCGTATTGCAAATGGAACTTATAAAAGTTGTACAAATGTTGATTACCAATGCAAGCTTATCCGTCATTTGTTCACACTTTTGTGCAGACTCTTTGTGTCTTGATAAAAGGCCACAAGAGGAGTTGGAGATCCGTTAGAGCATCTACAATCGGACTTAGACAAATTCGGTCCGTCAAACGCCCACGAACGCGTCCACGGACACTGTCATTCCTCAAGTTTCCCTTCTCACAACTGGAGACCTCAATTAACATACCTCAAATCCATTCAAACTCATGCAACTATGTAAACGATGCATTACACACATCGTCCGGCTACTACATTAGGACATACCATCGGACTACCAAACATCGACATGTTTAATCTGCATGCTAGCTATGGACTAGAAGAGCGTCCACGACTGTCCTTGCCCTTCCCGGCACCATTGTTGTCCATCTCGCGGATGTAGCAGTTGAAGACCCAGTACAGATGGAGCCGGATCTGCTCATAGCCGGAGTTGTCCAACCCGTCGATGTCCTCCTTCTCCTCTTTGGAGGCAGTCCGACCATGGCATGGACCGCCCGATTCTACTCTCAGTCGAGGGCGCGCGTGTTCCTCCGCTGTCGCTTCTTTATAATGCGGGCCTGGATGGCTTCCTTCTCTGCGGTCGCCCGTGCCGCCGCATCAACCGCCTCCGCCGCCGCCATGTCAGCAGCGAGGTGGGCCTCCGCGACCCTCATCCTCTCCTTCCCACGGCGGGCACACCGGTCCGAGTAGGAATCATACTCTAGTGGACTGGTGATGGGAAAATGGAGATTGGAAGGCTCCCAAGAGGATTGCAATTATCCAACGCAGGAGAATTCAAGCGCCCGATGCGCCACGCAATGGACTCGCGCCGGACAGATCCCGCCGCCGGTCGGGCGCTATCCTCCTGGGGAGCGGTGGAGTGCAATGCGGATGGCCATTGCCTCCTCCAACGACACCCCAGTCAACGGATCGATACAGGTCATCGTCGGATCCGCTGTCCGCCATGCTGAAGAAGGTTGGAGATCGTCGGACGGAAGCTTGGGTGGCGGAGGTAAGTGGAGGGGACTGGAGTGAAGTGGCTAGGGTTTGGCCCGGACAGCGGATGGAGATGAATATATGTGGGGTCAGGTTGACCAGCATCGGCCCCGGTCCGATGTGGCGAACGTTCCTGGGCATTTGGCTTGGACATGAGAGGTGTCGATTGGTCCGGGCATTTGAGACCCGTTTGAGGCACCCATCTGGATCGCTTTTTGTGGCCGATCACTGACCGAGCCGTTCGCCTGGACGTATAAGGGGGTTGGGGCGTCCGGCTATAGATACTCTTATGTTATTACTCCCTCTACCTATGAGTTTGGTGTAAATTTCTCAGCGCCACCCCAAGGAGAGCCCATGATCATAATTAGCATCCCAACTTGGAGCCAAACGTGGAAGGATTTGTAACGACATGCAACTACGGTAGCCTTAGGGCATCTTCAACACGAACCATAAATTTGCTCCGCCATCTATCCATATATAGGGGCCAGTCCGCGGATATTGATGTGCCAAAAGCCACCATACAATGCTGCCCGCTTATATTTTAACCTCTGTTTGAAATAACCGAACGGAATTAATGCAAACATGACTGATTTCATATAAACCGGCCAAAATTCATTATATTCTTTTTTTTACAATTTTTAACTAAAAACTATAGCGGACTAAAGTAACACTAGTCTACAGCCGGCGCCGGTGGATATACATTCCCACGACACGGATACCCTTGACTAGTCTATGGCCGGCCGCGGCGGATCTTCATTGTCTTCCGCATGGCCGGCAGACCGCTCGTCAAACTGTCGAGAGCCCCAAAGGTATATGCTTCAGCACAAAGGGCGGCTCATTTCCCCATGCTCGGCAGCGCCACACATCGGAGTGCAACCACCGCGATGTGCTTTAGCCGGAGGGAAGGGGACGATGGTGCCCTGCGACCGGGCAAGACACCGGTTGTGTACGCCGGCATCGCCTCGGTGGTGGGCTTCATGTGACCCAAGCGGCGGCGGCCTCCCATGTTCGACTTCTCCTCGATTATGGCAGCGGGCGCAGACATGGTGGCCACCATTTCGTCCATCTTTGCGAGGCCGGCTTCTTTCTCCGCCGGCAAGGCACAGTTATGCATACGCTGACGGCGGATGGCGCGGTTATGGTAGGTGTCAGATCTGAGCGATCTCTATCATCTGCTCGTTTCTTGCTCGTTCTATTTTCCTCCAATAATAGTGTGTTGTTACCCGTGGCAACAAGAAGTCCCTATTTTGAGCCCGTCCATATATGGCCGAATTATATATTCTCAAGAACAAAATAGCTAGGGCTACAAAGCAAAAATGAAAAGAATGTGCATCAAGTTTTATTTCCTCTGAGCAAAACAACATCACAACATTGGCTACTACTCTTGTACATCAAGTTCAACTAGCAAAGAAAAGAGCAGATGCATTCGTGGGTATTCTCCGCCGTGCAGTCGCCTATGACGGCCTTGATGCCTGGGTACTTCCACATGAACTGCTCCATGCACGGCCCGCTGCAATGGTCCCGCTCACAGACACCGTCGTGCGGGATGCGGATGACGACCACGTTGCCACACGGGTACCCTTTCACCTCCACCCCTCCGGCAGGATCCACATGAGAGACCGCCTGACACACTGAGGAATCATGTATGTAAACAAGTAAAATCACGACAAGAATTATGAAATAGAGAGAGGGAGGGTCCAACCTAGGGAGAGTGCGAGGAGAGCGTAGAGAGCACGAGATGCAGCTCTGGTCGCCATGCTGTGTTGGCACTCAGGCTGGACGTGACGAGCGGGCTTTTGGCCCGGCTCGCGGCCCGCGAAGGACCGGACCGAACGGTCCTGGCCCGGTAAAATACTTGGTCGGTCCGAGCTCAAGAATCAGGCCCGAGAAATCTTCGGTCCGGTCCTGTTTTTGACCGAGCCGACCGAGCAGACCGACAATCCCAGCGGCGACCTGCGCGAAAGGAGTAGTGGAGGAGCAGTGTAGGGAGCGCTGCACCTTCCCGCCGTCGTCGACCGTCGCCGTCTTCACCTGCCCGTAGTAGACTGCCTCCTCTACGTCTGGCCGCCGTCGATCATGCCAGTTTACAACTGCTGTCGAAGTTTCACAAAATACAGTTTCGTCAGATGCAGCAGTAAGCTGTTAGAATTCAGTTTCGTCAGACAATACAGTTTTCTTCAGTTTCGTCAGAAAATACAGTTTTCTTGGAAGAGCAACCATGGCAGCCGTTTCAGCACAGCACGAACGTAACGCAAGCCACCATCTGGGAGCAACAATCGATCGGTCGTGATTTTTTGATCGTGGGAGAAAAGCTCAACCGTGATTTTCGCATCCAACTAATCAGGCAAGTATTTTTGAAAGGCAAGGAGTAGATGTAATAGCGCCCAATTCCTATAATCATGAGCCATCACCCCACGTTGCAGTTTCCTTTTTTATGCAGTCGAGATGGAAACAAAAAATACGACGGAATCACGATTTGATCCGAAACTCATGGCGCCATTTGAGGAAGAACTCGACGTCAGGTTTGATCCTCTAATCACGGCAAGGCCCATAAACAGAAAATCTTGGCCGCATACTCGTTCTACATTACTTGCATGCAATAGGGAAAACTGCTAATGAACAAATATCTGCAGGTTCGTGGGTAACAGGCGCGCCGCCCAGCGCACACCTCGCCCACCTTGCCGCCGGCGCTCTCGCATGAAGCCCACCTTGTCACAGCACCAGCGCACGTCGCACACCTCGCTGCTGCACCCGTGCAAGTCGTCGCCGGTGGTCGTTGGCCGGTCCGCTCGGTCCGGCCCGGGCTTGGCCGCTGCCGGTCCGGTCCCAGAAATCAGGACCGTCGTGATGCTCGGTCCGGTCCGGTCCGGACCGCCGGCGGCCGGTCCAAACGACGGCTCGGACCGGGACCGGACCGGCCCGGACCGTGTCCACCCTGAGTTGGCACCGCTGTTACAGCGATCAATCGAGCTTGACGATTCTTCAATTGATTTGTGGTTTCTAGTCTAGGGATTTCTCCTATTTATTTTAGTGCATATTAATCATTTGAGAATAATTATTCTGGTCTGTGATATTTTTTCACAGGACTATTATTCATTACAAAGGTGTCGCATAATGGGTGCACGCCAGCATCACTTTTGCACTAGCACTTGTCCGTGTTGCGCTCCTTGATGGATACGTACGCGGATCGCCACCCTTGCTGAATCAGCACACGCGACTAACTCATCGTCCGCGTTCGCGGCCGACTCGCCCGCGACTGTGCCGTTTCCAACACTGCGGCTGACTTTCTTGTGCGCGCCAGCTTATAACGCCGCTGCCGACTCTCCCATCTGCACCGGCTGACAACGTCGCGGCCGACTTATCTGTCTACTCCCGCGGCCGGCTCACCTGTGATTGATTTCAGCTTCACCATGGTGATCATCAACTCTGCGGTGGATAAACACTAGCCTAACATATCAGGTGATATCCATCCGGTATATTTTATATTACATAGTATTTTCTTTAAAAGAGCAATTACTTTGGCTTGCAAGTTGTCCCATGCAGGACTCAAACCGGTTTATATCATGGTCAATTATGGAGAATCTCAAGCCAACTTATCAAGTCGCCTTGAGACCTGGGGGCTATGATGACATGGCTCAGTAAATGTTGCCAGTTTAAAGGCCGTCAGAAAATTTCCAGCTCAAAATGAAGAAAAAATCCGGTTTTCAATCCGGCTCAAGGGAAATCTGTCTCCAACAAGGCTCTGAAGCTTTCAATATCCGGCTCAATGCCCGGTTCAAGAAGAATTGATTACTCACAAGTTCGAGTTCTCAGAAAAATTAAAGGGACC